TATATAACCAAAGCAGACATTATCAAAAGCAGTTATTGTCTCTATTTTTTGTATTCAGGATATATATTCAAATATAAGTATATCCTTGAATATTTACTAACATTGGTTGGTTAGGAGTCGACCGTAATCTGAATCATCAAGTCAACATTCTTTTCCTTAGCTGCATTGTACATGCTTCGCCAAGGCTAAATACAGTTTTGCCTGGTCAATAACAAGTTTATTGTGCAAAATACAATTGCAAAATCAAATAAAATAAGGCTGCCATACAATTTGAAGAGGGCAAATTTCAGAAATAAAAGAGGACACACACACTAACACACATACACATACATACATATATATATATATATATATATATATATATATATATATATAGAGAGAGAGAGAGAGAGAGAGATAATATTAGTGGTAAATATACACATACATATGTAAAATATATATACATACATGCATACACATACATATATATTTTGTATAAAAAATCATTCCAAGAGGCTAGAATCCAGGTAGAACTTAATGGTCTAGGACAGAGTAAGGATATAATAAAAAGGCTTAAACACTAATATTCCATGGTCATAATTTATTCCATTGGAATCGTAAATACGACCCAATTCATCAGACCTACAAATTCAAAAAGAAAACAGAAAAAACAACTCCGGAAATTAAAATAGAATTTAGAGAGAGAGTAAGTATGGGAGCGTGGGACGAATGTTAGAGCTATAGAGAGGGGTAACAGACGAGAGAAGGTGGGGGATTAAAATTTAACAGAGAGAAGTTTTAGAGAGGGGAGTCAACGACGGTTTAAGTGAGAGAAATATGAATGTTGTCGGATGTAATACGTTAAAGATGTAACCGGAAAGGATACATTTTGTGGTGACATACAGACACAATAGACGATCTAGTCTTAAAGTTCAGAAGAAGATGGAGGGAGAGGAAAAGAAAAGAAAAAGAGGTGGGGGAGAGAGATGGGGAGGGGGAAACTAAAACTGAAGGGCATTTACTGAAAGGGCCGCTGTGTAATTAAGAAAATTTGACAAAATTAATATCGACTACTAGCTTTACCATTCGTCCCACACTCTCATACCTACACTTTCTCTAAATTTTATTTTTTTATTTCGGAGTTGTTTTTTCTGTTTTCTTTTTTGAATTTGTAGGTCTGATGAATTGGATCGTATTTACAATTCCAATGGAATAAATTATGACCATGGAATATTAGTGTTTTAAGCCTTTTTATTATATATATATATATATATATATATATATATATATATATATATATATATATATATATATATAGTGTATTTAGGTAGCAATCCTTCTTTCATGCACATTTCATTAAATACGACAGAGAAGGTGCTTTCATTTAGTTTTTTATACAATTTCTCGTGCGATCTAATAATTTTTTTCTTTTCAGATGATAAATTATATAAAAACTATCCAAATGTTCTTTTTATCCGAGCGCTTTCGGCAATATTTGAAAAATGAAAACATTATATACATGCAACAAACAAGTCCTTATTTAACAGTTAAAATATTTAATGCTTGGAAATGGCCAAATGTATAGCCGAAAGCGCTCGGATAAAAAGAACATTCGGACAGTTTTTATATAATTTATCATCCTAAAAAAAATTATTAGATCCTATGAATTGTATAAAAAATATAAATGAAATTACCTTGTTCGTCGTATCTAATGAAATATATATATATATATATATATATATATATATATATATATATATATATATATATTAAAGACATTTTTATGTTAAACGTTCTTTTTTAATAAATTGTCGGACTTTTGTCCATTTCTTAATATATATATATATATATATATATATATATATATATATATATATATTATTAGTATTAATAGTAATCTTATAAGTATAAGAAATTATACTCATCGGTGTCTTGATTTGCAAATAATCAAACCAATACCAAATGGAAAAAATAGGTATGAAAAAGAAAGAACAAAGAACATGTACGTTAGCCTAAAAAAATCGTCTAGCACGCAAGTTCAAAGCCCAAAGAAAAAAAAAGTACCCAAAACTAAATAAAGTGCTCAATACAGTAAGTAGAGCAGACCTAGTTAAACCTAGAGAGCCAGACAAACCTACCAAGGTTTCACCTAAGCGGATCGTCAGGGAAGGTCGGCTAAAAAGATGAAAAAGAAAGGAATACTTATAGTCAATAAACAAAAAACCATAACCATGTGACCCCAAAAGAAAAAATAAACAACGTGGGGAGGAACCATTTATTAAAAAAAAACAACAACAAAAAAAACAGGACAACACGGACAGCAGGGGTTATAACCATTTATTCATTTGGTCACGTGGTTATTTTTTGTTTCTTTTTTGTTTGTGTTTTTTTGTTTATTGACTGTAAGTATTCCGTTCTTTTTTCACCTTTTAAGCCGGCATTCCCTGACGATCCGCTTAGGTGAAACCTTGGTAGGTTTGTCTGGCTCTCTAGGTTTAACTATATATATATATATATATAT